CTAGGCAATAATATATTTTCTTAAAAAAAAAAAAAAAATAAATAAATATTTAAATTACGAATTCTTTATCGAACACTATTGAGAAAAATATCCATCCTCGAAACTTCAAGAATCTCTCTTCTACGATATACGTCATCCAGTTCAAAGAACTCGAATCCAAGAAAGGAAAAACACTAAAATATCTAAAATATCAGGAAGTGCAAAAGAATTATGTCAACTGAAGCATAAGTACAGGGAAGGTAATAAAAGGTATTTCGTTGAAAAAAAGCAGGCGACCTTACACAGGCGATCTCTTTGAAACGAAGGTCTCTTGTTGAGCTGGAGATCGAAGTGTGAACGACCGACGCCGCCTAAAATTACTCGAACAAATTCAGACTGCAACGGATGGCCCGAAGGAATTACGGATTCTCTTCGACGATAGCTCGAATCAAGGCTCAATCGCCTTCAATACGAATTATCCTCGACGTTTCAATCCCTTCTAGGATTAAATTTTTCTACTGGATATCCTTTCTCATATCCATTTTATAGTAAGATCGAATCCTTGGTCATTGTTATGGTAATGATATAAAAGTATTCTGTTATATATAGAATGTATTTTTCATTTATTATTAGAGTTACATTATCATTAAAATTATTTCTATTAGGAAAATTTTTATTATTTCTATTTTGCATTTTTTTTAATTAATATAAAGATTTTTCTATCCTCGAAATAATACTGGAAATAATATACTTGTTAAAATGATTTCAGAAATATTCTTATATCGTATTATACGATATATTATATCGTATTATTTTCTAATTATCGTAGCGGAGGATCTTCTTGTAGTAATAATAACATATTAATTAAAATTATTTCAGAAATATTATATTACATAGAATGCTTGTATTTCATATTAAATACACAAGAATATAGTTTCTAACTATAGATAGAATAAAATTCACTTCAACTTGAACTTTATTTATATTCAGAAAATTGTACAATTTGGTATTTTTAATTGGGTTTTTATTACAAGAAAACAAAAAGAAAAAATTAAAGAAAACGCTATAACTTCGTTATTTAGTTCCAAGAAACGATATTCACACTCGGTTTATATTCTTCCGAAGAATTTCACATAGGAATAAATAAAATATACAAACAGAGAGGACTGGTTCTAAAAAATTCTGTTGAACGTCGAGTGACCACTGGTCGACCTTGTCCTTGGTCAT